GCCCGAGACCAAATGCGGTCGAGTCCGAGACGAGACCGAGACCATCAATAAATGGTCTCGAGACCAAGACCGATCTCTAGTACTACAACACTGCTGCACAGGTAGCTCAAGCTTTTTAAAATGGAGGTTTATGAGAGTGATGCATGGCGAATGTGGAGCTGCTCCAGCAGCGGAGTTTTCTTAAGGAAAAATAAAATTACGGTGCAGGAAGACTTTAAAAGAAAAAGAGAACCTTCACCTCTGAGCCAATCAACCCACAGGGGAGCGTTGGATGTTTTGCCCAGGCTGAAGTTTGTTTTTAGGGGTTTTTTTTTATTTTCAAAAAAATAAAGAAATGGCTGGATGCTAAAGGATTTTTGCACTGGGGGAGTTTACAGGCCTGCAATCACATTAGTCAGACTTGGTGTGGTTTTAGAAAAAGATAAGAAAAAAGATATAGCTAAAGAAAAAAACCTTTTGAATAATGTCTGACGGAGGAAGGTGTTGATTCAATAATCACTCTGCTGACGTTAGCATCCACACTTTAATGGTCGCCATAAACAGTTAACAACATGCGCTCCCGCGCTCATCACCCAACAGAATGAAGAAAACACAGATCTAGCCCCGCCTCCCACTCCTTACATCTCACACATGCGCAGTATGCTACTTACAACTTAACAGAAGGATTGTGCAGGCTGGCCTTTTTCAATGCAATTTCAGCTCACCGAGGTTCTCAGAACAGACGTTTAATAAGTTAGGTGCCCATTTAGTTTTTAGTTTTAGTTTTTTTTTGACATGATGGTTTGTTGTTGTAGTGTTGGACCCAAATGTGCAGAGAGGCTGAAAAATTATGAAAATACTGAAAAGCGTAACAAAAAACACATAGACCAGAGTAAGACCAAAATTAGCCCAAAAACAACTGACCAGGAGACATGCAGAGAACACTGGAAGGCACAAAGGATTAATGGGGGTAAACATGAGGATCTGGTGGGTTGTGGGAAAAAATGAGAGGCTTAAATACTGAGGAAGGTTGAGAGCTAGAAAAAGACCTGAGCTGATGAAAGTAACTGATATGCAGGTGAAAGTAGTTGCAGCAGGAGCCAGGCTAAGGGGCAGGGAGAAGGAAGCTGGAAGATTACACAGGGGAAACACAGGGGAGCAGGACATAACTGAGACTAAAGAATAAATAAGAAATTAACAACTAGAAACACTACAAGGGAGAAGAAATAAAGGGACACAAGAATCAGACAGATCTAACAAAAATAAGTATAAAATAATGAAACTGGAAAGAACAAGAACGGTAAATAAAATGATAACTAGAACACAACTGATAAACTAAGAGAAACTGAAAAACACAGAAAACAAAATCCCAACCTGAAAATCCAGAGTTCTGACATTTTTGCCTGTTCTTTTTCTCCATACTAAAATGAGCATGAAAGAAACCTTTTAAATAAAAAGGTTTCTTTCATGATTTCTTTGGGGGGGGACAATTCTAGACTTTTCCAAGATTGGGGGGATCCGGAGCTCCCCAATATTCCCCCCCACCACCCCACCCGAGATTTACGCCTATGACCCTTGCATGTATGTACAAGTTTATTTTGGGCAAGCTTATAGTCACACACATTAGCAATTACACTATATTGCCAAAAATATTCGCTCACGCTCACCTGTCTTGACTCGCTTAGGTGTCTTCCCATTCCTAATCCTTAGGTTCAATATAACATTGGTCCACCCTTTGCAGCTTCAACTCTTCTGAGAAGACTACCCACAAAGTTTACAAGTGTGTTTTTGGAAATTTTTGACCATTCTTCCAGATATACATTTGCGAGGTCACAACCACAGATTGGTTCTCAATCTCTGATCTAATCTAAACACCTAACCAAAGGTGTTCTATTGGGTTGAGGTTAGGCCTCTGTGCAGGCCAGTCAAGTTCAACAAACCGGACTCTGCCATCCATGTCTTTATGTACTGTGCTTGGTGCACAGTCGTGATAGAAGAGGAAAGGGCCAGCTCCAAACTGTTCCCACAAAGTTAAAAGCATGTAATAGTCCAAAATGTCTTGGTATTGTAAGGTCACTCAGTGGGGACCCAGAAATTCAACCACACAGAAAGAAAAAGACAAATTTTATTTTAGTCTCCAACTCTGATTGCTGCTCAGGATGAGGTCATCAAATACAGCTCAAGAAGAGAGGGAAAAAGCTGGTGAAGGAGGGATATGTTAAAAGCAGTGAACAGGAAGCAACGTCAGAGAGTTTGACGATCGGGAGGTGCAGGTAACCAGACTAAACAGGCTTCCATGGTTGTGATGTGACAAAGATCTCCACAAAGAGAAGCATTCTGAGTTCCTTTCACTGGAACTAAGGCTAACTACAGCTCTTGAAAAACAACCTTACACCATAATCCTGCTTCCACCGCCAAACCCAGACTCATCCATCAGATTGCCAGATGGAGAAGCGCGATTTGTAACTCCAGAGAACACGCCTCCACCACTCTAAAGTCCAGTGGCAGCAGCTTTCCACCACTGCATCCAACGCTTTGCATTTCACTTGGTGATGTATGGTTTGGATGCAGCTGCTCCACCATGGAAACCCATTCCATGAAGCTCTCTGTGCACTGCTCCTGAGCTAATCTGAAGGCCACATGAAGTTTGGAGGTCTGTAATGGGCACCTCTTCGCACTATGTGATTCAGCATCCACTGACCTTCGTGGCTGCTGTTCCCAAACTCTTCCATTTTCTTATAACCAAGCTGACAGCTGACATTGGAATATTTAGGGCCGAGGAAATATTATGACTGGATTTGTTGCACAGGTGGCATCCTATCACAGTTCCACGCTGGAATTCACTGAAAGCGACCCATAGTTTCACAAATGTTTATAAAAACAGTCTGCATGTCCATTTTATACACCTGTGGCCATGGAAGTGATTGAATCACCTGATTCTGATAATTTGGGTGGGTGAGCAAATACTTTTGGCACAATAGTGTATGTTTTACATGAATCCAAACACATGAAAACCTTTGCATTGAAATACAGCATTTCATTTCTGAGTAAATTTACCTTGTTTGTGGGACTGTTGGCCTCCCAGTAACTTAGTTCATAACTGATGATGTGGTCTTGGACAGGCCAAAGCCAATACAGCATTATCCGGGTGTCCAGTTCTGCCTCGGCCTCAAAACCAGATGGCTTGTGTGGAACTGAAAGCATGAAAATAACAACCAGAGGACAATAGAGGACAGCCCCTTTATATCAGCCGGTTAGAAAAAAGGTTATTTTAATAAAGAATTACAACTGAATGATTACCAAGTATATGGAAAAACGAACTAACAAGAATAATTAACATATCACAAAACCTGTACACAATGACAACCCTTTTAAGTTAAAAGCAATCATCTCTACATTTTTTAATTTCTTCTCTAACTTTGTGACTAAGGTAACTCCCAGATTAAACTTTCCTTTGATGTTTGAGGAGTCAGATTTTTTTTAATCTGATGGTAAATACTGATAAGATCATAAAAAGTTCGTGCTTTTTGAAGTGGTCTATGCAACTACACCCAAAATCAGTTCCGTCATCTAAATAAATGTAAACAATCATAGCTCAGTTAAATTCAACGTGATGGCAATGTGGGGGGAATTTCAGGTTAAGTGGTCCAGTAACACTTTAATTGATGGGGTGTGCATGACACTGACATAACACTGTCATAAACATGACATAATACATGTCATGAACTTGGAGTCTTACGAATGTCTACGACTGTTATGAATCTGTTGTCAGTCGGTAAATAATGACACTCTTAATGCAAAACTGCTCTAAAAATTGCATTAAAACTGTGGTGATCCTGGGTGCTGAGGGTTTGTTTTGCCGCTGCTTCTCACTCCTTCCACCAGGGGGCGCCTTGTGGGTGATCTTTGGTGGGCGTGACCGGCGACGCTGGAACTCTACACACCTGTTGGAGATCGTCTCATCTGCGAGGGGCTTAAGAGTGGAGTCAGCCAACATATCGTCGCCAGAGTAATAGTACTTCAGGTCATCAGTATAAACGTTGTTGATTGCCTTGTGAACCTCCCAATGACCCTTGGTGTGTTCCTCGATTTTCAGAATACCTCCTTGTGACGTCGTGGTCCTAACCACTCAAAGCTCTGAGCTCCTGGCTGTTCCTGGTGTTACGTCAATCCGCGTTTCCCCATCAGATACGGTTCCCCCTTCGTCTTCTTGCCGCTCCGCCCCGCCCACGCGGCAAAATAGGCGCGTGCTCGTGATGAGCACTGAGAAAGCACGCGCGTAGCAAGCACGCGCTTGTTCGGCGCGCTTGTCTGAGGAACTACGGACACCGAAAGCTCAAACATGTTTCGGCAAAGTTGTCACTCTTTGCCGAAACAAGCGCAGCTCACAGTTTTTAACAATTTCCGTTGATTTCTGTGTACTTCTAAATCTGCTCCTTTTTCGCATCTTTTCGGGCCTGCTACTGCCTCTAGTGGCCTGGGGGTGGTAGCACAACTAATAAATACATTACTAAATCAGAATACCAAAGTCTTATTAATGCTGGCATTACTGGAACCTCAAAAGATAAAGTCCCTCACAAAACACCATACCTTTTAATTTTCTTAAGGAAGCAGAGCTAATTAAACAACAAACAATACCTGAAAGTGGTTCCAGTTTCACTCGATGGCCAACCTGTTGAAACTATGGCAAGTTTTAAATACCTTGGATCATTCCTGGACAGTCAGCTCAATTTTGCTGAAAAACACTGGCTACATTTTTAAGAAACGTCACTCTATCTTTTAAGAAGACCCAGTGATCTTGGGGTTACCTAACAAGTGCAACTCGTGCAAAACCTCTAGTTAGTTAGAGGTAACATTAGCTAACATTACCTCTAGTTAAGTAATGTTAGCATTTTAACAATGAGTTCAAATTTAAAACTTAAAAATGTAACTTAAGTTTTAAGTCATCTCAAGTTTTAACTGTTGAGGGCTTTAGCTTTTCATCTCCTCGGCTGGTTTGGTCACATGAGCTGCAGACTAACAGACAATCTTTTAAGAATACTTGGAAAAATAGAAGGTAAATAGTGGTGAAACCAATAACAACTCTGTCTAAACTGTTTAGAGCATCCATCCTTTTTTTTCATCAGTTTCAGCTCATGAAGGCGTTATTGTGTTCCTCTGGTAAATATAGAACATCTATTAGAAGTCATTCACTAACAGTGCAATAATTATTATTAGCCAAATTAAATGATAACATTTACCTGTAGTGTTTACCTAAGTGTTTACTTGATGCACAAATTGCTGATATTATTATTCTATTAATTAGTTTTATTTTATTGTTTTAGAGTCAAAGAAAAATTTCCACCTTGGAAGACTAAATCATTTAATCATATTTTTTTCCTATATATAGGACTCTACCAACAAAACAAAAATGTGGATTATTGCTTGTTTAACAACCCTGGTTATTCGTCTGTGAACCTAATTAATTTGTTCATTATTGACTTTTGCTCAATTAAATTTCTTATGTATATTTTGTATATGGTATTTTTATTGTTGTTGATAATGTTGTTTTTCATGTCTTATTTATTTTCTTCCTCTTATAAGTGATGGAGATATATAGATGTTATTTATAATGTATAAAGGTGTTGTTTATGTCACCTAATTAGCTCTACATCCTGAAGAAAAATATGGTATTTTAAAAGATAATTTGTCTTTCACGTTGCCAGAAATGGCGAAATTAATAGTAAATAATAAAAATTTTGTGGTATTCTCGTTTAGTGACATAATTATATTAGTTGTGTTACCTCCCCCACGCCACTAGAGGAAGTAGCAGGCCCGAAAAGATGCGACTAAGAAGCAGATTTAGAAGTACACAGAAAGGTACAGAATTTGTTAAAAGCTGAGAGCTGCGCTGAAGTAAATAAAAAAGAGACGCTGAAATACATGCCGAGAGTGAAACTCCATCCTAAAGATAAAGTTAAACCACAGATTTAAAAAGAAAATTAAAACGGGAGACCGCGGATAATATAGGAAATAGCGCCCCTTTCACTTTCGGAGTGCAATGATCCCATTTCCAAATAAGGTAAGAGGCTGACAGTGGTCCGTCCCCGCCCCTTTCTGTTTGCTGCAGCGGGGCCCTTCTCGACAAGCGCGCCGAACAAGCGCGTGCTTTCTCAGCGCTCATAACGAGTACGCGCGTATTTTGCTGCCTGGGCGGTGCGGAGCGGCAAGAAGACGCAGGGGGAACCGTATCTGATGGGGAAACGCGGATTGACGTAACACCTGGCGTTCAGGCGGAGCAGCAATGGCGGTGAAGAGCGACAAATTATTTTATTATATTACACTTTAAATGACACAACGTGATTTTGTGCAACATTTTTAGGTGAGAATGTAAGTGTGTAAGTCTCAAATATCTAGTCGGTTCACCAAAACATAATCTAATTGCAATATTGCTCTAACATTTTCAGACATGTCTGCTCCCGCTGCGTTAACAGCCAGCTCCCCTTGCCAGCAGTTAGCTGACCCGGGAGAGAACGCCTGACTCCCGGCACATTGTTTTAAAAACTCCCGCTAGCTTTCCCCAATGAGTGGAAGTTAAACACCGGTATTATTCAGACAATATCTAGTTGTAAAATGTTTGGTTTACTACAGTATTTAATTTATTAAATCGATTTGATTGATTAAAGTTAAGCCTTCAGACATACTAGTTTTATTTTACTGTAATGGCTTATCTGAAATCTGGAGAATAATTTGCTCATATTTATTCCTTTGTTCCTACATGTTCAAACAATACATGGACAATACATGTTCAAACGTGTTTGAACATGTATTGTCAAATACATGTTCAAACATGCAATATATGTTTGAACATTTTAGAATCAAACTAACTGATTTAGAATAATACAGAAATCAAGATTAATACATGACTGAAAAACTTTGGCTCCATTGTTTTTTTTTCTTCTTCTCTGCTCTTTCCTTCAGGCAGTCATGGTTGCTAGGCAACATAAGTTTCACTAGAGTGGGAGCACAGATTTTCTCTTCCGGTCGTCATTTATTCGCGGTCTACAAAGGACCTGTCCTACATAGACAGGGTCCTTCGAAGGACGTCGACCGAATTTGGACACAGCTGTTATGTCATGTTTATGACAGTATCATGTCAGCCTTATGCACACCCCGTCAAATAAAGTGCTACCAGTAGTCCTTGCCCTGAAAAAGTTTGAGAAACATTGCTATAAGAACAACTTAGATAACGCTGAGTTGATCTTTTCTGCCAATGCCTTCATTCCAAATCTTCTTGATATCTTATTTAGGTGCCTTAACTCATCCTGTGTTTTCCAGTGAGACACCCCAGAAATGATAGTGATCCATTCTGGCTACCCCACTTAGAATTTCTTTGATTCACATGTATTGCAGCATTGAAAGCACATGCATGGGGGGAGACGGGACTGAAAGACAAGACACATGAAATGTAAGAGCAGGGGAAGGGGGCGGAAGCGTAGAGTAATGTAATAGGACCAGGGGACTAACATAAGAGCGAGGGAAGAGAATTGTATACCAACTAATGTAAGAGCAGGCGGCCCAATCCAGCACACAATCCAGGATATTTATGGAAAATAATAATACAGGAGTACAGCGGGAAAGGGAAGTAAAAAACCGGTAGTTTCCCGGCCAAAACAGGAAACTTGACAGGTATGGCTTTACTGTGGGGGGACTCTCACCTCCTTGCTGGGTTTTTAACTGCAGAACATCAGACAGTGGCCCATCTCCCATAGATGTGAAGCCAAGCATCCTTAGGCTGTAAGTGATGTTAGGCGTGAGTTCTGAGATGGACGTGAACTTGCTGTCATTGGTGTTGTGTATCTGCCAGGTGCTGAGTGGATTACTGGGCTCAGAACTGTAGAAGATCCGATAACCTTGCAGTTGACCATTTGGCTCCTCAGGAGGTTCCCACTCCACCAGTATGGTGGTGGAGCTCAATAACCGTGCCCGTACATGAAGAGGTGGTGATGATGGTGCCTGCTCACCTGTACGGATTTTCACAATACTGCTTGGAGGCCCTCGCCCAACACTATTAGAGGCCAGGACACGGAATTCGTAGTCAGAGAAGGGGTTAAGACCGCCAATGCTGTAGCGAGATGAAGCTACACCATCTATCTCCTGAAAACCATTGCCAGAAGTTTTAGAACGGTACTGAACCAAATAGTAGGACACAGGCTCAGCGTTCCCAGACTTCCATGTTAGAGTAACACTGGTGGCTGTGGTCTCTACCACCTGCAGAAAGGTAGGCATCTTCGGAAGAGCTGTCAGAAAATGAAGACAGGAGGTTTAGTAAGACAAAAAATGATTTCTGTTCTCACATAAACCTAACTGCTTAATTGTTCTGAAAGTCTTTTAGCTTATATTACTAAATATTATGCTAATAATTAAACTTTTTAACCATACAGTCTGCAAAGCAAGAGCTGTACAGGATGTGAATGATGTGAATAACATCACATAACATATATATGCTATAAATGTGAATAACATACAGGGTTTCCCCCAGCGTATTATAAGAAAAAATACATATATATCACTTAAATTTCTTTTTTTTTTATCTTAAAGTCTCTGTTGTTCTGACAATTTCAATCGCAGAGCACATTTACTGATAAAATAAAGGTTTATAGTTTATGCATTTAAAGCCAGCAGAGCAGGCTGGTGCCTCTACGCGTTGCCTCTGCTTTATCTCTTAAGTTTACCTCAGCGCGGATCGCGCACGCCTTCTTTCACTCAAACTGGACACATGGTGACCTGTATGGATATTTACATCAATCCTCTGTGAGGAATTATGGTCTTTGGAGAACCTTCAAGGTAGGAGTTTAACCCTGACCGCATTAGCTCTGGTTGTGCAGCTCTGAACCACAGGAATAATTTCAGAGGTGCGCGTTGAGGGAGTGGTGAGAATGATTTATCTTTATGAACAATTATGTTTGTTCACAAACATAATTCACAAACATAATTATTTGTTCACATAATTGTGAACAAACAGTTATTTACATCTCAACACGTCAGCGTCGAGTTTAACGGGGGCATCGGCTTATTTTAGGGGGTCATTTGTATTTGTAACTAGTAAAACACAACGTTATTTTAATTGGGATGTTCGTGAGTGGAATTGGTTCATGTGTGGTGTGTGACTCCTGCCATGTCGTTGGACACAAGAACCGATCGGACCTGTTTTACTTTTATTGGCTCGTGTGTCACAGAGGTTTGGAAAATTGGCAATTCAAAATTGTGCCGTGTAAACCATACCTAAGTTCTACCCCTCTCGTTTCCCTGACTGGTCATTTACATGTCCCTTCAAAGTAAGATAGAGATGCGCAGCAAAAACGAACATTTTACTTTCAAGAAAATATTATTTCACGATAACTAATGGGAGCCTTGTGCTTGTTTCTCTGGTACAAGACGGTCTCATCTGGGAGTGATGAGAGACAATGACACCCAAAGTGTTACTTATGCTCAGGGTGCTTGGTCTGTATGTGGCGAAGCAGTTTTGAAGCTTCCTTGCCTCATTAGTGAGCCAGTCGCCGCATATCATGCAGAGTGGGCTTGTAAAGTGGGACTCACCTACCGGTCCAGAATAAATCAATTCTCCTGTCTCTTCTCTGGGCCGTTTCCTCTTCACAAATAAACTTTCCAAAGACACCTGATCTGTCACTTACTCATGTTGCTGCTTGTGGAAATAATTATTTCTTGTGCGACCCGGTACCAATTGGTCTACGGACCGGTACTGGTTCACAGCCCGGGGGTTTAGGACCACTGGCTACTTGTTAACAAGCTTAAGGTGCTATACTGGTATTGCTAGTAATCTTTTGGCTAACATTACCTGCATCCAACAGTATTACTCAACTCAGTCGGTTAGTTTGAGGGAAAAACTGCGCAAAGTTCTTTGCGTTTTTTGCTGGTTTGCTGTCATGATTCTAACACGCACCTGAGCAGCTCTGCACAGCAGCAGCAGCAGCAGGTCTCCTTCACTGCTGCTTCAGTGCGAGCTAAAAACATCAGCACCACTAACAGCTTATGGGTTAGATTTAGTGAAATCTGGGAGAGCAGAAATAGTTTAATTGGCCAACATAAAAAGCAATAAATTAGAATTGTCATGAAGTGTGGGTGGATCATGGTGAGGAGAACACAGGCAGACCCAGGTTGTAGAAGATAAATTTAGATTTCATCATAAATATCAGCTTGTACACAGTTCGGGAGACTGGCAGCACAGCACAGCGGAAGGCTAGGGCTCAGCACAGGTAGCAACAGAAACAGTATTGAATAAACGTGAGCTCACCGATTCTAAGACAACTTACATAATACAGACGAGAATAGACAATACGACAAACGTTAGACAAGGACCCGACAAGAGACAAAGACAACAGGTGGACTTAAATATACAGGGAGTAATCAGAGGAACAGCTGGGAACAATCAAGGAGGAAGACAGGACAGCACAGAGACTCACAGGAAACAAAACCCAGAAATAAACACACAGAAAAACTCAATTCACGACAATAATTGCAGTTTACTAATTTGTATTTGTGAACAAATAGAGCTCAAACTCAAAGATTAAACTCACAGCATCAGATTGTAGCTAACCCTAACACTAACCCTATGATAACAGAACAATCTAACTATGATTATTGTTTGAACTTTTACAAAGTAAACTTTCCAGCTCCTTAAAATCTTACATTTAAATGTTAAACAATTTAAAATGTTTAATTTAATTATGCTGAAACCATTAAATCAAATTCAGCAGCATTTATAATTCTAATAAACAAATATTACATTTATGTACCTATGGTCTGTGTTAAAATATTAGCATTCATGGGGCCCTGAAGGGCTGGGGGGCCTTATTGAGCCACTGACTTAATTTGAATTAAACAGAAGTGCAAATAATTGATATTCATTTTAATTGTATTTTTGATTAGTTGTTTTTAATTGTGGGTTTAAACAGCGTTTCACTGGCGATGTCTTCTCGTAACATATAGCTACCCAGTAATATTTTTACATTTCCTGTCAACTTAAAATCTTTTAATACAAACCACCTCAATGTTTTCTGGGGGAAACCCTATAACATATGTGAATATAGTATATTCACATATAACCACATATATAGCACATGTCAATACAATATATTGACATGTGTTATATATGTGAATAAAATATATAGCATATAAAGCAGGTGAGGTCCTGACATCATAGATACCACTTTTCTGCAGGATTTCATACCAAACTGCACTTCATAGTGACTAAACACAATGAGATTTTAACTAGTTGACTTTAAGGGATTGTGAAGTCAACTAAGTGCTAAAAGTAAGGTAGCTGCTACGTTTTAATGATATACATTAAAAGTACCTAGTGCCGATAACATACACATAGGACTTTAAAGGAGGAGTCTCAAAAGTCCCAGACCCTGGGTCGCACTTCCAGCGTCTGGAAGTGGCCCAAACCCTATAACATAATGTTGTTAGAGTCTTCATCTTATCTTTCCTTCTTAATGCTAGTCTGATATTGAAGAGGCCCCTACTTTTGAGGACAGTATTGACATCATCTTGAGGGGTCAGACCCCTGACTTACAGGGATTGTTAAAAATAGCACTGCAGCACTAGCTTTTTTGTTGACTAACTTTGGATGTGATGTCTTGGATTAAACATCACAAACTATGTAGTAAACACAACTACATAGTTTCATACCTTTGACAAAGACTTGAGCTGTGGTCTCAATCATACCCAAAGTTGAGATGGCAACACAGGTATAGTTAGCAGATTGCTTAATATTGGTAAGCTGCAGGATACTACGGCCAATGGGTAGCTCATCCTCCTGGGTCAGCTCCACTTCATCACTCATCCACTTGACCAAAGGCATTGGAGAACCCACTGCCACACATGTCAGGTTGACACTGCCAGCAGGCATCACCTCACAATTAGTGGGTGGGATGGAGAAACGGGGTGGCACACGCCGGACTGTAGAGGTAACGACAGAAGGAATGAGAAGACATGATTCTGGGACATGCGAGAAACTACATGGCTAAGTGTAGGTGCTCAGGTTGTACTGTGCACAACCTGAGCACAGTACAACTGGTTGTGGTTAATAAACATGAATGAAGTGAGTGAGGTGACATACTCCTTGTATGTTGCCTCACAAGCAGTTTAGCTTCAATCCTGATGGCCAACTATTTCTACCTGCACAGTTGCCAAGTCTTCCCCAGCAGCCTGCCAGGCTCAGCAGAAACAAAGTTCCTCCAGATGTTTGCTAATTGCTGCTGGCTAGTTTGTAAGAGTTGAATGGCAAAGTCGGGGAGAGGGCTGCTTCTTAAAGTGGAAGCTCAGCGTAGAAACTGAATTGCCGAGGAGGAGCTTCATGGAAAAGGCTGCGCTCAGTAGCACAAATGATCACAAATGATGTCATATTTGCTCGTTAATATTCCAGTTGCCTGGATGTTCAGACAAACACACTATAAACAGAATGGCAACATCTGAAATGTTAGATGACGAGATCTCAGAAACTTCATTTCAACATGCTTCAATATAGAAACACTGTTGTAGAAACAGGAGTTTCTATGAGTGCAACATAAACTGCTTTGTTGTGGCTTTGTTGCCCACGCTTTGAGTTTTTCAGATTTCCATGTATATATTTTTTTTCGTATTCATATTTAAAAAATTTTATTGTGTATTTATTTTTGCACCACTACATCAAAGCAATTTCCTAGCCTGTGAATCTGTTTACTGACAATGGATCGGTAGCTTAAAAACATTTACAAAATATATAATTAATGGAACTGAGCATTTTAAAACAGACTATGTGCCTATAAGTCAGTTCTTCAATTAATTATTTAATCATTCAATCAGCTGCTGGGAGCTTCGTATTCGCAAAGCACTGTTATACAAAATGAGCAACACAAGGTGGTTGACATATTAATAATTAATGCGTCAACACTTGATATGAAGCATTCAGTTGAGAATAGGTTTACATGGAAATAGTTTTTAAAAAGGCTCATTTCACAAACATTGCATAGAAAAGCTACAAAAATAATTCTTTTTCACATAACATTACAAGGTAACAAGGGGCAACAACGGGTCCTAGGACCAGGTCAAAGAAAGTGGGCATTAGGTAGATTAAAAGAGCATAGAGTAGATGTGTAAGTGGCTGGGACGGGCCTGGGGCGCCTAGCAAGATGCTGGCACAGCACGGCTCCAGTCTGCCAGGGATTGAATTTAGGAGGGCAAGGAGTGAAAAATAACCAACCTTCTCGCTGATCTGAGCAGTTTGGAAAGTAGTTTAGAAGAAGGAGTACAGTGATGATGGGGTTTGTGCAAAATTGGAATAGAAAAGAGAAAAGGGGAAGACAAGGAAAAACACAGTAAAGAGGCAAAAATATGCTTTTTCAAAGTATAATGAAAAAGTTTGCGAAAGTAGAGCAAGCAGAATGTGCACATAAGATTTTCTTTCTGAAAATGCAATGATAAGCCACATTTATTAAATGTTATTAAATTACACACCACCAGGATGAAACTTGATATGAAGCATTCAGTTGAGAAGTTGCAAGATAGAAAGTTCTGAGTTTGTTCTGTCATCCAGGGTTTCCCCTAGTGTATTATAGGCCTGGCACCCCGCCATGCTTTACTAGCCCCACCGCCAGGCTAAGCCTTGCTTATTTATGTTTTTAGGGAAAAAAATAAAAAATCGCCAATTTTTTATGTTTTATTTTTTAAACCGAATTGCAAGCGTCTCTGTTGCTCTGAGCGTTTCACTTGCAGAATAAATTTATTCCTAAAAGATATGTTTATAGAAGATAGGTTTATGGTTTACGCATTTAAAGCCGAACCAATCATACAGCTGGCGCCTCTGCGCTGCAGCACCTGGATTAAGTTTACCTCTTTGCAGATCGCATGCGCCTCCTTTCACTCAAATTGGACACAGGCTGACCTGTATGGATATTTACATCAACCCCTGTGAGGAATTATGATTCTCCAGAGTTTTTGATCAAGGTGGGAGTTTAAACCCCACCGCGTTAGCTCTGGTTGCGCAGCTCTACATGAACCGCAGGAATAATTTGTAGTCACTTTCAGAGGTGCGTTGAGCGAGTGGTGAGAATGATCTATATTTGTGAACAAAGAATTTTATGCGGCTTTTACATCTCAACATGCTGCCCAGCGCCCGGCTCTGTCTGCACTGATAAAGTTTATGTCTGTGTTCCTGGTTGGTTAACAAACCAACGTTAACCTTATCATGCAGGTTCAACCCGGTGAGGAGCTTTCGCGCTTGCCTCGCATTCACGCATCACGCTGGTTTTATATTAATTTATTATTATTTTTAGTATTATTTTTCCGGTTACATGATACATCAAACCATATCAAATGCTTTGTCCACTTAGCCAGAGTTGATGTGTGTGGCCACGCAGAGATTTGAGAAAGTCGTACCATAAACTCCAGCAAGTTTCTGTGACTCTTATTAAAAACTCAATAGAAAAGAAATGGAAGAGCTACTAAAGCCACATTAGCAGCATTGAACTAAATCTCCTATTTGTTTCGCATCTCTGCGCACTGCAGCAGATTAAACTCATCATGCAGGGCCAGACCAAGGCTGTATGAGGCCTGGAGCAAAATTTGATTTGGGGCCCCTTTTTGTTGCTAAAAACATCAGCACCTCTAACAGCTTCTGTGTTAGATTTAATCTGGGAGAGGTTGAGTAGTTTAAATAATGAATTAATCCCACAGTTGTTGTGTCGTCTGCATATTTCATGATGTGGTTGGTGTTAAACCTGGGACGACAGTCGTGGGTCATCAGGGTAAACAGCAGGGGGCTCAGGACACAGCCCTGAGGGGAGCCAGTGTTTAAAGAAATTACATTGGAGGTGTTATTACCCACATGGACAGACTGAGTTCTGTCAGTGAGGAAGTCCAACAGCCAGTTGCACAGTGGAGCATTGAAGCCCAGGGAGACCAGTTTGCATACCAGATCCTGAGGAATGTACGTATTAAATGCTGAGCTGAGGTCCAAAATCAGCATCTGTATGTGGGTGTTTCTTTTCTCCAGGTGTACCAGGCTCAGATGAAGAGCAGTGGAGATGGCATCTTCAGTCGAGCGGTTAGGTTTGTATGCAAACTGGAATGGGTCAAATGATGGAGGCAGTATAGAGATTATGTGATCCTTAACCACTCTCTCAAATCACTTCATGATGATAGATGTTAATGCAAGTGGTCGAAAGTCATTAAGACATGTGATGATTGGTTTCTTGGCTATTAAG